AGATATCTTGAATTAGAATTTAGGCCCTGAGTACTGCTCTTGACAGGGGACGTGGTGGCGCTGTGGGCTAAACCGCAGAAGCCTGTGCTGCAGGGTCAGAAGACCAGCAGTCGTAAGATTGAATCCACGCAACAGAGTGAGCTCCCGTCGCTTTATCCCAGCTCCTCGCCAACCTAGCAGTTCGAAAGCATGTAAATGTGAGTAGATAGGTACCATCTCGGTGGGAAGGTAAAACAGTGCTCCCTGGTCACGCTGGCCATGTGACAATGGAAACTGTCTTCGGACAGGCGCTGGCTCTACAGCTTGAAAAACAGGATGAGCACCACCCCCTAGAGTCGGACATGACTGGACTAAAAATGTCAAGGGGAACGTTTACCTTTACTTACTGCTCTTGACAAGCACAGCCACCATACTTTTTGCCTGTGCCAAGATACTTTTTTAAATTTTTCAAAAATATACTGTTTCAAAAATCTATTATATAAATTTGACAAATCTGACAAGCAGTCACAGTAAGACAAAAAAAATCACATCTTTTCTACAAGAAGCTAAAGGCAGCAAAAACTTTTCCATCCCCACATTTCACTACAACCACATGAAGTAAGTTAGATTGTGCGACGGAGATGGGTCCAAGGTTACCTAGTGAGTTTCATGCCATTTTAAACCTAGATCATACTAGTTCTAGTCCAAAATGTGAAAACGTTAATTCCACACTATTTCTCCAGTTAAAACACAACTTGGGAAGCAAATATATTTCTCAAAATGCTATATGCTCTCTCAAAAGCTATTGTCCACCTCCATCTTTTCTTGAAAAAAAGGTCTTGTTAAAATCAGTGAGCTGGCTGGATAGTTCAGTGGTTTAGGTATTTCGCTATAGAGCCAGAGGCTGGGAGCTCAATTTCCCACTATGCCTCCTATGAATACAGCCAGCCTGTGTAACCTTGGGCAACCTGTACAGTTCTAGGATGCGTCCAAAAAAGGGAATGGCAAACGACTTCTGTGTGTTCTACCTGGAAAACCCTGAAAAGTCTCCCTATGAGTCAGAATTGGCTTGCTGGCACATGATTATTAGCAAGGCTTGTTTTTGTGTATAGACATCTCTTCTTCTATTCCATATCATAACAAATACGACTTAATTCCCTGCCCAGAGTTTCCTGTTCCGTATGGTGGTGTTCTCCAGATATACAGCATCAGTCTTTACTTCATTCTCCCTCTGGTTCATATGGACAAAAATATCTGAGCAAAGCAATGAATTTATAAGAGTGATAAGGATGCTTCTGAACATAATCAGACTTCCTTTAATGAGTCTTTAAGGTTTTCTATCTCAATTATGCAAATACTCTTCATCAGGGTTTATTGTCTTCTTATTGAGGAACAAATCTCTCTTAGCATCTGTCTCTGAAATTTTGCAAGCCATGGGGACAAAGGCTTGTTTCTAAACCTAACCAAGGTTACTGGAAGTGACTGAAACAGAAGATGAACTAGGACACAGAACTAAAACAATAACTGGCAATGTTGAGAGTTGCATTTTATGTACGAGAAATACAGAGGAAGGACATTCGAAACAGACTGACTTAAATCCCATGCACTTCAGTCTGATCTGAATCTCTTTATCCACCCTTTGAAAAACAGCCAGATTAATCCTTATTCAGACCACAGTTCCTCAAAAATAGTCAT